CATGTTTTCTCCCTCCCTCTCTTAGTCATTCCAAGTTGACACTTGTTGTCTGTGTTTTTACATTGCATTAACTGTTTAAAAGCATTATCAGCAACAGAACTAAAGACAAAAGTGGGTCTTTATTACCAGTCATCAAACTCAGCAGATGAGCGGCCGCCATGAAGACAGCAGTCACTTTACAGCATCCGATAAGTCATCTTTGAAACACAGCAGCTGTAACATTGTATTTATAATACAGGTCATAATACACTGTGACACAAAATCAGTTACTGAGGAAGTGTATAGTACTACAGTTGATTTTTCTACACTAGAATCCTCAAGTTCTTCCAGGTTGAACAAAGCACAAAACTTAGCTTTACATTTGTAATACAGCTTTAGATCTTCAGAAAGGAAGTTCAATCTTTAAATCTTACGAGAACCGTACCTGGCTAGATAGATGCTGCTTCACTGTGTTTGTGATGTCCCAGTCTGTTTCTTTTCTCAAGTCACTTTAGATGACTTGAGAAATCTAAAGTGACTTGAGAAAAGACAAGCTTAGATGCTCTGCCACTTTCTCTGCTATTCAGCCTCAAACAGGAAACTGTTTCCTGTTTGAGGCTGACTAAGGCAGTCAGTCTGAACATGAGAAACCCTGAAAGACTGAAAGAATGGCTGTCTTTGTTTCACTAAATTTCTAGTTTGCTACACTTTTTTAATGCAATAAGGAGGAATGTAGGGACTTAAAATCAGGTTAGATCAGGTGATGAACAAATATTATTATCAGCCAATGCAATGCACCCAGAACATTTACTCAGTGAAATGATGTCATACAGCTTAGAGGACAAAGGTACAAAAACCAAAATTTATTCGATATCTACCAGTCAATCCTCCCCATGTCTAGTGTGTAATAGCAAGTGAATACGTTCTATGAATATGAAAGAGCAAATCCATGAGTGAACTCGAAAGCACCAATGGATTATGCAGAAAAAGTAGAATTCGGCTGAAAGATCTATCACTTTATTACCTATTCAGGTTGTAAATCATGTTT